GCTCCATTTCTATTTTTTGGGCAGTGTATTTTTAAATTACAATTAATTTAACGGGCCAACAAGCGGGCCAGCGGCAAAGTCGCTGAACACTGGTAGTTCGGTCCGAGGTTCGAATCCCGCGAATAGGCTGGCTGCATTGGCGTTTTCGTGGTTTTCCCCATGTGTAACGTGTATACCAGCCAGTTTCCTTTAGAAATTCCTCTACGAAGGCATCCCTCCCTTTAGGCAGATAGCCCTCGAGGCTTTGCCATAATCACATACACACACACATTTAATTTAACCATTTAAGTTTAGAGATTTGCGAATAAAAGTGTGAAAACTTGGCCTGCTTTCCGCTGCCTTGCCGAATTAAACAAACATATTGGAGAAGCTAATGCTGGTCTTGCTGCGAGTGTTGTAAATTAAGGTTTGGTAAGTGTGCTTTTGAGTTTCTGTCGTGATCTAGGCAAAGCTGGTAATCTCTGCCCAGGTTAGATTAAAAAGTATTAAATTGATAAAAATTGTAAAAAAAAAAAAAAAAAAAAAAAAAAAAAAACTGATATGTACACCACATGACTTCCTTGCACGGAATATTATGTTATACACATTTTTCTTGCATTTCATTTAAACTTATTGGATTGAATTAAATCTACTTCGGCGATAGCGCATAAACCACAATAGAATAAATGTCCTCTTTAAATTCACTATGTTTCTTTACCATAGCGACACTCTGGCGCTAGGTTCACTTAACAGTATGACATTTCGTTCATATTATAACTCAGAATGCACAAAATGTATATCATTTGAAGAATTATCTAATCGTTGCCACATTTTCTATTCAAATACTCTAATAAATCTAAAACAATCTATAAAAGAAATTAAGCAAACAAAACAAAAAAAGAAACAGTTTTTCACAGATGATTCAGTATTTCTCATTCAGTTCATTCAGTTCTCACTTCCCGACAACGCAAAAATACATAAAAACTCAAAATATCTATATTAAAAATTACGAAGTAAATCTGAAACACTTATTTCCTCGAATAATTCCAGAATGGATTAAGCATGATTTAATTCGCAATAATAAAAGAAGGCGTTATCTTTTTTGTTATTGCGAAGCTTAGTTTCTCTAGATTGGCAACAAATCCACTATTCTGCAAGTTTGAAATGTAAACAAACATGTCCGCCATTGCAAAAATAATTAGGCTGAGTGGAACTTAAACAACTTTTAAATTGTTGATAACTCCACAAAAATTGCATACAGATTTACTAAAGGCATAAAAACCTGAACTGTAAGATAAGAACAACATAATTCAATCATTTTTTAAAGCAAAAAATGCACAACTTACAAACATATAAGAATAAAGAAACTGAGCTCACTGAGCCGAGTAACAGAGTGGATATATATATACATATATTTATATACTTTTGGTGCAACCGATTGAAATCAAAATACGACGTACACATCTACATGTTATAGCAGTCCTACATACAAAATTTCAACGTTCTGAGGCTACTCGTTTTTTGAGTTATGCGAGATACGTACGTACGCACAGACGCCACGAAAAATTCTCTTCAGAATTCATTTTAAATCAGATGCTTTATAACTTTTTTGGAGGAATAGAGTCTTTTATTCTGTCCTTACTTGCGGATGTCACGCAAAAACATCATTAAATTTCATTGGATAGCGGTCAAAATCGGTATTTTCGTTGAAATATGATACCCGAAATTTTTCGCGATTACAATACTTTCTTTTTACTTCGTACAAGGAAGTAAAAAGAAGGCGCTTCTGTTGGAACCAATTCAGATTGGCTGGTAATTTTATGTTGTATATTTTAATTTAATCACTCAGAAGGGGGTAAGTAGAATAAACTTGAATTGTTTTAATTCTGTGTCTGTTTACTGGTTAGATATTCTGGTGGTAATAATTCACCTCACAAGAATATAAGTAACACCTTAACATATGGAACTCATAGCAGGCGTTTCAAACTGATTTTATGAACAACATATCCCACCGTTGCCTGATGATATTGTAGTGTTTATTAATGACAGGAAAGAAAAAGTTGCATCGAAATATATTTCCACAGTTCTTGAGATATAATATTTTCATGGCGGCAAGCTATTTTCATTTCCTATAATCATCTCCATGGTAATTTATGTATTTCTCTTTAAAATTTTTTTGGTGTGTCTGCATGCGCACAGATGCTTAATAGTGAGAAGTTTATAATGATCTTTCTCTGCTTTGTCACTTGAAACGTCCATAGTCTTATCCATTTTTCTACCACGATTCGCAAAGTTAGGCTACCGCAGCTTAAATTATCCAGTTGGCATTTCGGAAACTGGCAATTCTGAGAGCAACTGCCATTTTCTGGGAATAAAATCTTTTTTTTTTTTTTTTTTTTAAATGACAATAGTCTATTGCTTAAAAATGTAACAATTTTAAAACTATGTGCATTTCTTAAGATTTTTATTACTGTTTTTATTTATATATTTATTCATTTATTTGTCTTCATATTGTTCCTCAGTGATAAAATGGGCACTTTAAAATCAATGAGTTTCTTAATGTCCTTACAAAGATTTTATAGAAAATTTATAAATATTGCTCAGTGCTTATAAATATTGTTCACAGTGTTTATAAATATTGTTCACAGTGTTTGCTCACAGTGTTTATAAATATTGTTCACAGTGTTTTCTCACAGTGTTTATAAATATTACTTATATTTATAAATATTGCCCACAGTTTATGAAGTTGATAATTTTAATAAACATTTACACCGGTGATTTTCAATTTTTTTATGTTTCGCTTACCCTTGAAAATACGCATGTAGTTGATGTATGACTTAATAGTAAATAAAACAGCAACTTAACAGCTGGAATAAACATAAAACATACGCATGTATAATGAACGAATTACGTCTTGTATTCATAAATTATATATTTTAATAAACACAAAAATGCCATAAGAATCTTAGGTACAAAATTGTAAACATTTTATCTGAGGGTTATCGAGATGGTTGCATCTTTGTAACTCTTTTGCAGTTCCTTCTAGCTGTATAAACAGCTAGAACAACTGCAAAGGCGGAGTTGTAAGTAACCTTCAGTATCTCATTTAAATGTTCCCAAATTTTTATTTTAGAGACGAAAAAAAATATGTCTTAATGAAAAATAAAATATGTTACGCCCAGCTCTTGAAAACTTTGGGTAATCTTTCTCTTCTTCAATCCCAAAACCAACCAATGTCTCTTCGTCATGGGCGTGTTTTTAAGTTATAGTTAAAATATATTGTAATCAACCTTTCTTTAAGGTAGAGGAAAATTGATGCTTTTTTTTTCCCAAATCAAATGTGAATATATATAGAATCGTTTTAAGAGTGTGTATCTGGCTACCTTACTAACTATTTTGTTAACTGCTTACTTTTATAAGCTCTTTTGTCAGTGAGTTATCGCATTTACTTAATCTGGCTGGAAGCAAACGATACCTCACAAAATGTAAAAATTAACTTAAAACTTTATTTTTCACCGCTGGTGAATTTAACTTAAAAGAGTACAACACAAAATTTAAGTTTCCTGGACTACAGCAGCTTTCTGGAACTCTTAAAACACATTAACTGGCTACAGCTCGAGTGATTCTACTCAAAGTTGCAACACCAATTCGATCGGACAACAACGCTGATTACTGTTCATTTTGCCAAATGTCAGGCATTCACATCTATTCTGATGATCATCTTCACGTTCTACAAGCAAGCAGCAGAGGTTGCAACAACCGAGTCTCTGCTTGAAATTAATCCGATTAATAATTTTCAATTTAATCTACACAGCTTGTTTAAAAACCTGCATAACTGTCTGAGTAATTATGCCAACGGCAGGCGCAAATCTTGTTCTCCTTGAAACGAAGATTTACATGAGTTTGTTCTGATGTTACTCTCAGACAAGTGAGATAAGTTACAACAACAAAAGAATCAATGTAATTTAAAATGTCACAGAATTCCAAGCAGTTCAACATCAATATCAAAGTAATTTTAAAATGAGCGTATCTTTAGAATTTCTGATACAGAGTGTCGCACGCTGGAGATAATTTTTTTTTTTCCTGTACAGTGTTGCCATTGCTCGCTTTGAAATCGTTTAGTTTTTTAATCAAAAAATTCGTTGAAGTGTTACAAAATATGAAATCGATAACAAAACAAATTTCAAATTCAAATTAGGGCTTCCACATGCCCATATTCTATGGTAGATTACGTTATTCAAAGTTTGATGGCTCTAAGTACCGTTGTTTCAGCCCAATGCGAGAAACTTACCTACATTCATGCAGATTCTTCATTATTTAATTTCTTTAAATATAATACAGGTCGATAATATTTGGTGGCAACACTTTGAAAAGTTATTCGCCGTTTATAGTTTTCAACGCAAAATGCCCAAACGAAAGTAATAGTCCTTCTGAGCAAATTGGACTAATAATAAATTTTTACAAAATTCAAAGTTCTGTTATAACACCTGATATAAATTTTATAGTGTTATAATTACGCGATATTTTATTTTGTAATTTGAATAAAATAATCAGTAAAATATTCGAAAACGAAAGAAAATGCAAAATTTACAGAAGAAAACTGCAAAAATTATCTTTTTTAAAGTAGTAAACAATCTTTTAAGTGTGTCGCAATTCTGGAAAACAGAAGTTCTGCCAAGCAATTCAGAACCAATTAAAATAAAAGCGCGAACTTATAATTGCTTATATTACTTTCTAGTTTTATCAAGCAATGTAAGAAGTAATTAAATATATATACACCTTGTCGTGCACAGTGGAGCCCCCCCCCACTAGGCGAATGAATGAATGAGTGTAATTAAATATTTATATAAGGATAAAATTATATTTGTATATCACTTATATAAATAATATTTTAGCATTAATCATTTACAGTTTTTACTCCTTTCTAAGTTAACAAATGTAATCTCTTGTTATTAAATTAAATAAACATTTAATATGAACTAAAGTACTAAACTACTTTATTTTTGCTTTCTGCATTCTAGAATAAAGCACCCTGGTTGTCTTATGTCAGTGTTGCCTGCGTCTTTGGTTATATAATATTTTTTGCCACTGGGCCAGGTAATATTTTTTCAACATATTAAACTTGCGAATACATTAAATTACAGAATTTATGCTCATGACATTCGATGAATTTATTGAATGCAACGCATTTACTCGCCATGAAAATTATAATAAAAGTTCGTTGAATCTTTTCCGAGATTATAAAAATGAATTATACATTTTAATGAGTAATCTTTTTCATGAGTTATACATTTTAATGTGTAATCCTTTTCATGATAATCCCATGTTGTCCCTGGCCACAAGTAAAAATAACAAGATAATTCTAATATACCCCTAATAATATAATTATAACAAATCAATAAGCAGTATTAGCTGATATAAAGTATGAGACAATAAAAGCAGCTCCAGGAAACTTGAAAGCTTTCCCTCTACTCCGAAACACACCGTACATTCGATTCCCAAAATGTGGAAATTTTTATATATATATATAAAAATTTTAAGGTAGGGAGCCCCAAAATGAAAAAAAAAAAAAAAAAAAAGTACAGGTTGAATAAAATAAACTCCGCAGCTTTTGAGGGTTATCTCCTAAGTTTTCACTAAAGAAAGCAAAGACAAATTCCGAAAAGTTATTGAGAATGGCTCTAGGCCCTCTAAAAGCCCTTTAAAATACTGCAAAGGGAAGATTTGGTTTATTTGATTATGGCATAGCTAGGGCTATTTGTTTAAGAGGAGGAATTTCTGCGGACTCTGCCTCGTGCCTGAGTTACACATGGAGAAAATCACAAAAGCGCGTGTGCAACCAAGCCATTTCCTTGGAATCTTGCGCAGGTCGAACTACCAGCGTTTAGTTATTTTACCGCTCGGTCGCTAGTGGGGCTGTAAATCTAGGGAAAATCTCAATATAGTTAACTTGATCTCAGTCTGTGTTCACAGAGTTTAAATCTCATTTTTAAAATTGATATCTAAATTTCTGATGGTCCTATTGATAAATATCCAAGAGTGTTTATTTTGAACTATGTACATTACAAAATAATAAACTAATTAGTTGTATAAAAATAGACTAGTTTCCTTAGGTTAGCAATAGAGCAAAATATACAAGAAAAATTAGAAAATTATATTAAATTATGGCAACAAGCAAGTAATAAGTAATGATTCATTAATGAAATCCAGCCTAAAAATATCAAGAGATATACCGTTAAGACCCCATTTAACACGTATATGGATGGGGATGAGTGAAAGAATAGAGAGAATAAGAAAACTGAAGTTTATTTTATTTTGTAACAATTACTGTTAAATATACTTTTATTACACTAATTATAAACGTATTTATTGCTAATATCGATTTTTATTTATAAAACATTCATAAAAATAAAAAAAAAAGTTCGAGTAAAGAAGTTACATTTGTGATGAAAAAAGATCGTCCTTCTTTTTTTTTTTTTAATATCTCCTGTGAAGAAGTCATCTAGCGTTGTTTTGTCTTTTCATGTAAGGTTCAGAAATTAGTTGTTAACAAGACATCGCATTTATGGCATTCTGTCTTGCCTTCGAATTTTTAACAGATTATTTGTATAAAATGATCCCTAATTTTCGTTACACTAGCTAAACGTATTTTAGAAAATTCGTTCAAAGTTTCTTTTGCTTCTCATCTTCAGAAATGCAAATTTCGTGCACTTGTTTTTCTACTAATTTTATAAGATTGTTGTTGGAAAGACGTTTACCATTTGTGACTTGCAATAATTCTTCAATATAATACGCATTTGTATTATACAGAGTTTGTTCGGGAAGTAGTAGGACTGATTTTTTCCCGCCAAAACGCGGCGAAGGAGGGGACTGCGCTGGTTTGGTCATGGAGGTAGGAAAGGGTGGAGGGGCCATTCCGCGCTAGAAGTGAAGCACTGCTTTGAAGCTTGGGTCACCAGACGGGGTGTTCTTTGTTACATTCAGAAGCTCGCTTGACAAGATTCTGATAGTATTTCGACACACGACAGTTCCACAGAAATCGAAAAAGGGACACTTTCGCATGAAAGAAACATTCATAGTGTGAGGGATAATAGCAATTTGTATAGTTTACTGACATTTACGCAAAAATCACATCTTGGTTATTTTTCGATAACTAACAACAGCGATTTTGATTATGAATTTGTTTTATAAAATTCTAAGCTGTTGCACTACAAAAAATATAGATTTTAAGAAAATTGCTAAAAGAGATCTGCCAAAATTTATTTTCTAGAAGATTTGAAAAGTTTGAAACTTGATGGCTAAATGTAAATATAAAAATAAAATTATGTATGTTAAAATATTTGTAACTAGGCACATAGGTCAGATTAAGTTTTTATTAAATAGAGTAACGCATGCAAGGGCTATCTTCCTAAAGAGAGAGATGCCATCGTGGAGGAATTTTGAAGTGTGTAATTACTTTAGTGTAAATTACTTTACACGAAAAATATAGTGAATGCACAGAAATTAAAGATTTGCACATACCGGAAATGATAAATAGGAAATATGTATGGGTATTTATGCATGTGCTTGCAAAAAGAATGTATCTGCCTTTGACAAAATACTTAAATATTCATTAAATTATTTATAAATGTATTTGAAATGAAGAATTTATTCACTTATAAACAACTGTGAAAGTACTGTGAAGAAATCTAATGATTAAATTTACCTATTTATAATAATTATAAATGTTATCTGAATATATAATAACCTTAATATTGAATTGTAAACATAAATTGAAATCCTGTTGAAAAATACGTTATAAAACTATTTAAGCAAGAATTGTTCGTATTGGAAAGCAATCTGTTAAAAGGTATTGTAAAGCAAATGCTATGAGATGCGCACTTAAGAACATAATAAAGAGTTTTGGAATATGTATTGTTGAAATGAAGGGTAAAAAAAAAATCTGATAAGTATAATTAAAAGAATTATTCCCTTTACATTTTATAATAACTCAGTTACAAGTTTTAAATAATACTTAAAAAAAAAAAAAAAAAAAAAAAACTTATTTTATTCCCTTTCAGAAATGTTCAGAGAAAGCCAAATACTATTTAATACCTATTTAATTATTAGGAATTAGCGAAATACTTATTTAAAGTATTTCGCTAATTCCTAATAATTCTCTAATTTAAAATGAACCGAATAGAGCATTAATTATAAATTAACTTACATTTTTCGAGTTAAAAGAAGCCTCAGAAGGCAAAAAATCATGTCATATTTAAGAAAGTATTTTAGGAAGAAGCTCTATAAATAGAAAAAAATAATGCATAATTTTAATATTAATAATACAATAAACTTTGATCTTAATTTTTGTACCTTAACCGAATAAAAATCGAATTACCTTAATTTTTTTTCTAATGTAATTAACGAAAACTTGTGAAAATATTTCATTCAAATTAAAACCATTCTGAGCAAAACTGTCCTTTGAAAAGTATAGCATTTAATTCCGTTCAGAATGAAATGTTGTTTAAAAATATGTCGTTTTCACATACTTAGGACTCTGAAGTGTTGCAGAAAAAGAAAATATATACATTTATATGTATATTTGCGACGTAATTACAAAATATTTACACCCGAACGCGTCAAATCCCATAGAACTCAATGGTAAATGACCCAATGTTTTGGTCACCACGTAGGGACCGCCGGTGCTTCAGAGCAGGGTACGGAGAAACTTGTTTAGGGCGACTCCATCTTACTTCCTACCTCCATGGGTTTGGTTGTGGTGGAACATAGGTACCAGCGCACCGGTTGCGAATCGTTTCCAAGCCTTCACGGAGTGTAGATCGAGTTTAAGGTGAGCCTCTTTCAAGGTGCTTTGTCATCTCTACAATGAATCGTTCGTTAGAGCAGCGTTATGCGGTTTTTTGTTTCAAACTGTGTAAAACTACGAGTGAGACCCATGACATGATCAAGATTGCTTATGGGACTGATGCCGTGGGTCCATCAAGATTTTTTTAGTGGAAAAATTGTTCAGAAGAGAAGAGAGCAAGTTGAAGATGAACAACGGTCAGGACGCCCTCCAACGGCAAAAAGTGACGAAAACTTAGTGAAAGTGCCAAATCGTTTGAACCCTGCCCTCCTGAGCTCAAAAACGGGTTGCCCACGTCCGTCCAGCAATCGCTGGACCATGGGCTCCATCGTAACAATGCACCGAGCCGAACTGCATTTGCTGCCATGGACTTCGTGAGCAAACATAGCATCACATAGCTTCTCAGCCACCCCATAGCCCAGATGCCGTTCCTTCACACTTCTTTCTCTTTTCCCTACTGAAAAGGATCATGAAAGGGGGGCACCACGGCCCACGCCAAGGCTCGGTCCAGGCCATTCAAGAGGCCGTAACGAGAGAGCTGAAGAGCATTCCAGTTTCGGCGTTCCAGGCAGCCTACAGTGATTCGCAGAAGCGCTGTGTTTTCAGCGACTGTGACAGAAACGCTGTGTTTCCGAGATAGAAAAGCTAGAAACACAGCACTTCTAGATAGGACATATTTTGAAAGGTGACCGGAAAACTGTGAATAAATTAAAATAAAAAAAATCAGTCCTACTACTTTCCGAACAAACCCTGAACAACGCTGTTTCATTCGCTAGCTTGACAATTTCGTCGACATCAACAATGAATCTCTTCTCAACATCCTTGCTTATCCCCAGCCATATATTCTTCGATATTCAAACATTTCTCTGTCACCTCATTTGAGGAAAGATTGATGGTGTTCCTAGCATTCCCGGTATTGTAATTTTTCCAAAAATCTCTGATGGTTTGTGTATTTTCTCCATCGATTTTATCAGTCAGTTGTTGGAATGTTCACTACAGATAATGAATTTTACAATTTGAAATTACGCCGTGATCGAATTAACGAAGTGGTGTTTGGCAGCAAGAAAAATACCATTTCTACTGAAATGCCTGCTGTTAAGTTGACAGATTCGGTGGATGGCTTAGAACATTATCAATCAAAAATAAAGCTTTCAGTTCAATTTTTTTTTAAATCCGCAGTAGTAGCGTTTAGCAGACCGAAGCTCACGGAAGAAAGAGAAGATAAAGGAAAAATACAATAAAAATAGCGTATTATCTGATATAAAACCTTTAAAGTTCTTTCAATAAATTAAGTTCCTTCTTTATAACGACAGACTTTCAGAAAATAACATGCTTTCATATTTTTACTTGAAAAAAAATTTTTTTAGGCTCCATTCCTTGGTTTCTTGTCTCAGAGCTGTTCGGACAGGATGCCAGACCCATAGCGACCAGTATAGCTGTAGCAGTTAACTGGACTGCAAATTTCGTAGTTGGCTTGACTTTTCTTCCGATTACAGTAAGTTTACAGCATCAGCAATATATATACTTATAGCTCATTTTTAGGCAAGATTCTAATAGATTTGTATATTAGAGTTACTGAAAGGAGGCGTAAAATCCTTATTTACTTATGGTTTCTTTTTTAGATAAAAGTTGTCTTTTAGGAAGTTGCATTTAAAATTTCGGAACAGCTTTAGTATAGCCCACCCAGAATTTTAAGAAAAAAATTATCGCCAAAAATGACGATAAATGATATGATGTGGCAACCCACCCCGGTTTCCAAACACATGGTAACCCTTACTATTCGGCAAACGCAATGCAAACAATTTCTGATTTCTAAAATAATGGAATTACGGTTACAGCTAACATGTGGCCAATTACATATATTCAATTTCAATACAAATTATCGAGATATCCATTTACTCAAAGTTAAATGCACGTGCCCCTGTATTCTTACTTTTCCGGTAATTTTAATTAGCTTTCTCTTAAAATTTGTTAATTAAAATTTGTTAATATTCTCGCGCTGCATTGCACTGGGAAATACAATATTTTAAATTAGAATTCTACTAAAATTAACTATTTAAAAACAAAATTTGTAACATTATTTTCGGCGATTGCATAACGCTCAGATATCGTGGAGAATACTGTTTTTGAGATTAGATTTTTGCATTTAGTTATGGATTACTCTAAACCTTCTGTTAGTGATGTTGTAATTAAGTATCAGGAGATTTTAAAGGAAGATTTAAGGTGGAAGTTTTCAAACAAGCGTTAAAGTTTGGAAAAACCAGGCATTTCAAACATATATTTTATGCATGAATTAACAAGGGAGTATCAATTTTGAACTTTTTAGAGGATTTTTGATGGATTGTGGATTATTGAAGGATAAAGTTTGTTGTGAAAAGTGTAAGACACCATGCAAAGGTATCTTACATTTGAGAAAGCCAAGCAAAGATGAGATTTTCCGGCATTGTGTTTAAAATTACATCCTTTTAACCTTAATCCTACCTTAATATTTTTTTCCTTTTAAAATTGTGTATAATAGTCGTAATTTTATTTCTGTTATCCACGATTTCTGGTGGAATCAAGATGGCCACCATTTTTGAAACACGGAGTTTTGTCGAAAATCTCGAAGGTAACCATTTTTCAAAACAACGTATTTCACGCGCTTTGGCATATCAAAAAATCGCCAAAACTTTGAAGACGGGCTATACTGAAGCTGTTCCAAAATTTCAAATGCGTAGTTGCTATAGAGAAATTTCCGAAATTAAGGAAATGTTAAATAACTGTCATAGTAATGAGATAGTTTACTTCTTACTTATTTGGCTATGAAGAACAAATTTCTCTTATAAGATTCGTATGAAAAAGTAAGCTTGACCCACTTTTATTAAATGGTATTACACGAAAAAATCATCCCATTCTGAAAATCTTATTCTATCTATTTCAAAATCAAAAATCAAAAATATAAAGAAAAAATATAAGTCTGTGACCAACTGCTCAATAAACCAGTCACTCACATAAACTTTATTATTTCAAACACATATTATAAACAGCCCCAAGTTTACCAGCCTAATACAAGGAACCCCAGTAAATCGAGGAGAAAAATGAAGTTCCGTTTTTTACTGTACAATGTACTGTACAGTAAAAACACACTGTACAGTACTTTTTTAGTGTACATTTCGGATTACGTACAATTAAATTGCGTACTGGTATGAATAAAAATAGCTTTAAATACACTCATGTCCATAAATTAAGGATAATGCAAAATCAGGCAAAGTAAGAGTTAGAAGCAAAACAAATTTGACTTATTTGTAAAGCTTATTTATTAAACAAAAGATAAAGAGCAAAAAAAAGATGCTATATGTTTGATATTATTAAAAAAATTAGCGATTTTTTCTCCCTGGAGCTAATTACAAAAAAACCTATTTACAAAAAACCAATATTACATGGTTGGTATGATTTTTAATACATTGTATGTCTCCCAGACGATGCAATACAGTCCGTACAACGACTAGGCATGCTGAGTATCAAATTATCGATCTGATCTTGGGGATATTACACCACTCAAAAAGCAATGCTCTCCGAAGTTCCGGTAGACATGTAGGAGGAGGTTGACGGGCTACAACTCGTCGGCCAAGCATGTCCCACACGTGCTCTACTGGATTCAAGTCCGGTGAGAATGCTGGCCAGTCCATACGGGTGATATCCTCCGATTGAAGGCATTCGCTTACGATGTTTGCACGGTAAGGGCGGGCGTTACATCCATAAACACAAATTGTGCGCCCATGGCGCCCCGAAACAAACATACATGTTGTTCCAGAATGACGTCCCCATAGATTTGGCTTGTCATGGTTCTAATTTGAACATGCAGGTCAGTTCTGGAACCCAGAATAATTCCACCCCAAACGAGCACTCCTGCACCACCGTAACGGTGTCGCTCAATGATGTTTCCTTGGTGGTAACGGGTACCTAGAGCTCTCCATATGAAAGTCCGGCGAGAATCAGACTGCAAGCTGAACCTGGACTTGTCGGAAACATCACACAAGCCCACTGTTGCGGTGTCCACAATGCATGCTCTCTACTCCGGGCTACCCGCAGGCGACAGTGAGTTGCAGTAAGTGGAACGCATCTGACAGGTCTACGAGCATATAGACCAATCTGCCCTAAGCGTCTGTACACGGTCTGCCTTGAAATTGTCGTACCAGTGGCTGAAGAGAGCTGACGACACAGGTCTGAGGCTGTGCTCCGCCTGTTTCTTTTGGCAGTAACTGCCAAATACCGGTTCTCATTCGGCGTTGTAACACTGGGACGACCTGTGCTGTAACGTCTACTCACATTACCATCATCTTGTAATCGTAGCCAAAGCCTGGAGATGACACTCTGGGCAATTCCAAGTTCGTCTGATACTTCCAGTTGGGTACGCCACATTCCAGACGGCCGATAATTCTACCACGTAAAAAGCCATCCAAATGCGTCCTTTGTGTCATAACTATTCGGTTATTGCACTGAAATGCTTATAAAGCGCCTGCGAACAGTTTTACTTCTTTGCCTGTATTCCTTATATATCACTCTCTTACACTCTCGTCATTGTGACGTACCATCGGTGTCATCTGGTTACTTCCTGAAATTTGCATATGATTCTTGAAGATCTGTGTAGTGATTTTACAGGTGATATATTTATTTTAGTGTTCGATTTCCGCGTGACTCCGAATTATCCTTAATTTATGGACATGAGTGTGCTATGACATCATCTGCTGTCATTGCTATTAGCTCACGTATTTTTCTTTTATATTTTCCATTGACAGCTTTGTTTCACTTTGATGGTTTGTGATAACATTTCCGCCGTTTCGCGATAAATAATATTTCGGCAACACGAATCATCCGAAACCCAGAGAATCTACCTCATCCCCCCCCGGATTAATGAGGAGTTGACTGCATTTGATTTCAAGAGTTTTCATGTGCATATCTCCAAAAGGTATGCGCATCCTGTTTTCAGATGAATGTGTTGAGAAAACCCTTGCTAACATTTTTTCTTCACTAAAATACAGGTTTGTACATAGGTACCCTGCCTTTCTGTTAAGAAAATTAAAGATATGTTCTTATTTAAAATATTTCTTGAAAAACTCCTTGGGAATGGCAAACTGTAAAACCATTTTTTCGGGGCGGGATGTACAGATAGAAATCACTTGATAAACTAGATAAAGATATTTTTACGCCTGAATAGAAAGCATAATACTGTAAAATGCTAAATTTTAAGTTTGACCTTTATACACTCTACAACATAAAAAGCGACGCAGCAAGAAGGAATTATCCGAATGGGTCGAAATTGTATATGCCCTTACCTTACGATAAAATATGCAAATGACTATCTTTTAGCAGTCAACTACTTTGACTACTCAATACTTTGAGCTCCAGCATATTGCAACAGAGCATCCGAATGGTGTCTTGTCTATATTTTAAACTCCCTCCACTTTCATCGAAAAACACTGCGGGGAATCCGAATGGTATTAAATAACAGAGGACAATCCAATGTTAACGCATAACTTCTACGCGAATGTGCTTCCATCGATCCATGTTGACTGTACCAGTGCCTCGCAGAAGGATTAGCGAACAATATGAGCAGATGTCACTGTTTGAGAGAGGGCGTGCAATTAGAATAAAGGAAGTAGGCTTATCAGATCGCAGGATTGCTAAATACTTGAATTGGAGCGATCCTACCATTCGACGGTAGAAATGGATGAACCATGCCCGTATAGTGCGTACAGAAGGTAGCTGTCAACCGAGAACATCCATGATCGTCCGATTCTATTTAGATCACGTCCGACACGATATGTGATTGTCTGGCAGAGTGATCCTCCGGTCGGCGCTCACAGCCCTTGATGGGTCCTTATCCACGATTCATCGCATCACCGAAACACAACACCGAGAAGGCTGAACGCATTGCGGACAGCCTCCAAACACAATTCTCACCTAATACTGGACTCATGTTCGATTCCTGTGCACAGCACACGCATGAAGTCCAACACCAAGTTGAAACTTTTCTCTCCTCAGATCAACCTGAGGAACCCATTATCACAACAATGACTGAGATTTCTACCTTCATCAAAATCTCAAACCTACCAAGGCACCTGGCCTAGATAGGATTTCTAATCGCATGATTAAGAACTTACCTGTCAAATTTGTATTTTACCTAGCAGTTTTGATGAATTCCATGCTTAGGTTAAAATACTTTCCTAATAGCTGGAAAAATGCCTGTGTAATTCCTATTCTAAAACCTGGTATGGACCCAAAGGTCCCTCAAAATTATAGACCGATCAGCCTCCTGTCTTCACTTAGTAAAATTTACGAAGCTATACTGCTTAGATACCTGAATGATTTCTGCCGAAGCCGAAATATAATCATTTCTCAACAATTCGGTTTTCGTGCTAAACACTCAACTCAGACCCAGCTACTGAGAGTAGAAGAAATCATTCACACAGGATCTCGCAGTGGAAAGCCTACAGCTATTGTTTACTTAGATGT